AAGGTAGCGTAGATATCTAAGTATCCAGGTCACAGTAAGGTAGCGTAGATATCTAAGTATCCATGTCACAATGAGGTAGCGTAGATATCTAGGTCATCATGTCACAGTAAGGTAGCATAGATATCTAGGTATCCATGTCACAGTAAGGAAGCGTAGATATCTTGGTATCTATGTCACAGTAAGGTAGCGTAGATTTCTAGGTATCCATGTCACAATAAGGTAGCGTAGATATCTAGGTCTTCAAATTACAGTAGGGTAGCGAAGATATCAAGCCATCTATATCACAGTTAGGTAGCGTATATTTCTAGGTATCCATGTCACAGTAAGGTAGTGTTAATCTCAAGGTATCCATGTCACGGTAAGGTAGCATAGATATCTAGGTATCCATGTCATAGTAAGGTAGCGTAGATATCAAGGTATCCATGTCACAGCAAGGTAGCGTAGATATCTACGTCACCATGTCACAGTAAGGTAGCGTAGATATCTAGGTATCCGTGTCACATTAAGATAGCGTAGATATCTAGGTCTCCACGTCGCAGTTAGGTAGCGTAGATATTTAGGTATCCATGTCACAGTAAGGTAGCCTAGATAGCTAGGTATCCATGTCACAGTAAGGTAGTGTTAATCTCTAGGTATACATGTAACAGTAAGGTAGCGTAGATATCTAGATCACCATGTCATAGTAAGGTAGTGTTAATCTCTAGGTATCCATGTCACAGTAAGGTAGCGTAGATAACTAGGTCACCATGTCACAGTAAGGTAGCGTAGATATCTAAGTATCCAGGTCACAGTAGGGTAGCCTAGAGATCTAGGTATCCATGTCACAGTAAGGTAGCATAGATATATAGGTATCCATGTCACAGTAAGGTAGCGTATATATCTAGGTATCCATGTCACAGTAAGGTAGCATAGATATCTAGGTCTCCAAATTACAGTAGGGTAGCGAAGATATCAAGCCATCTATATCACAGTTAGGTAGCGTATATTTCTAGGCATCCATGTCACAGTAAGGTAGTGTCAATCTCAAGGTATCCATGTCACGGTAAGGTAGCGTATATATCTAGGTATCCATGTCACAGTAAGGTAGCGTAGATAACTAGGTCACCATGTCACAGTAAGGTAGCGTAGATATATAGGTATCCATGTCACAGTAAGCAGTATGGTAGCGTAGATCTCTAAGTTCCATGTCACAGTAAGGTAGCGTAGATAACTAGGTCACCCTGTCACAGTAAGGTAGCGTAGATATTTATGTATCTATGTCACAGTAAGGTAGGTAAGGTAGCGTAGATATCTAGGTATCTATATCACACTAAGGTAGCGTAGATATCTAAGTATCCAGGTCACAGTAGGGTAGCCTAGAGATCTAGGTATCCAGGTCACAGTAAGGTAGCGTAGATATCTAAGTATCCAGGTCACAGTAAGGTAGCGTAGATATCTACGTATCCATGTCACAGTAAGGTAGTGTTAATCTCTAGGTATCCATGTCACAGTAAGGTAGTGTTAATCTCTAGGTATCTATGTCACAGTAAGGTAGCATAGATATATAGGTATCCATGTCACAGTAAGGTAGTGTAAATATCTAGGTATCCACGTCACAGTAGGGTAGCGTAGATCTCTAGGTAATCAAGTCACAGTAAGATAGCGTAGATATCTAGGTATCCATGTCACAGTAAGGTAGCGTAGATATCTAAGTATCCAGGTCACAGTAAGGTAGCGTAGATATCTAAGTATCCATGTCACAGTAATGTACGTAGCGTAGATATCTAAGTATCCATGTCACAGTAACGTAGCATACGTCTTTAAGTCTTAATCTCACAGTTAGATAACATAAATCTTAAGGTCTCCAAATAGCAGTAGTATGGAAGCATATACCCTCCGAGTCAAGGTGACAAGAATATGGGAAAAGAATACTTTTATATGAAAACAAACAAATGATAAATTTAAAAAGAAACGAATCAAAACCAGGCGTTAATTTTAGCTTTTTCATAATGCTAACTTGCGTATGTTAATGTACCGTATCAATTACAGTAAAACAAGTAATACAACCAGTCACATTGTTGTTTAGTCGCCCCATTGTCATAGTGTCACTGAGACAAGCCTTGTATTTCTGAATCGACTTAATTGTATATAGTGTATATATTAATATTAGCATTTAGGTCATTATTTATGCAAATATCGTTGTAAAGTGGGCATTACTTATCATCTTATGTCATCCTTATCTGTCACTGGAGTGGGAGGTAAACACAGCCAGGGCTAGTCGGGGTCCACTTGCTACGATTAGAGCTTCCTGTGTAAAAGTCGGGAGGATATTATATACGTGTTGTCATGGTACTTGCTTGTAACCCTTGTGCGTGTATTAACATCCTTTTACGAATAAACATCAAAAAGTAAAATTTGAAACAACGATATTATCATAATTATCAAAACCAAAAAAAAGGCACACATGTCGGATTTGGAAATGTTACGGCATGTCAGAAATACTTTTTTTTATGTTAGTCTCCAATTTACGCTTTCTAAATGGGGAAAAAAATTGACATTAGCATTCCATTCACAAAAGGAAGTAAAGTGTGGTAGTAAAATACAAGAAGTACATGGATATCATGAATGTGTAAATTGACGAATTTCTAATCAGCGAAGCTACAGGTTAACATGTTATAGTTGCAAATTGCAAAAATGTGAAATAGCCAATATCATCAGAATGTACAGAATATTAATATGACACCATAGAAATAAGCAATATCATCGCTATTTACAGAATATTAATCTGACACCATAGAAATAAGCAATATCGTCGCTATTTACAGAATATTAATCTGACACCATAGAAATCAGCAAAATCATCGCTATTTACAGAATATTAATCTGACATTACAGGAATAAGCAATATCAGCGGTATAACAGGATGTTATCCAACACCTTAGAAATAAGCAATATCATCGGTATGTACAGTACATCATATCATTATTATTTCTAATTTTACATCACAGAAAAAAGCAACATAATCGGTGTATTTACAAAACATGAATCTGACATCACAGTAATAATCAGTATCATTATTATGGACAGAATGTTAATCTGAAATCGGATAAATTGGCAAGGCCATCGGTATGTACTGCGCTATATTCCTTCTTGAGCTAAGTAAACTCTGACAAATTAGTGTATACGTAATGAAAAACAGTTTTGGTGGATTGATAAAAGTTTCAAATATGGCGCTCGACAACTACGAGGTGATGCCATTTTCCAGACCTTGAAGTCGTCGTCGGCAATTGTTGTTCGATTTCAAGTTGTCGAGAACAAGTGTTGGTATGTTATAAAATCAATACCACACACGTGTCTATCTCTCAGATTGCGCTCGTTTATTGTGCGAATGAATGTTTTACTTCAGCTAAAGCCCTCGGGAAATGTATCCATATAAGTATATCTCAATACCACATATCGTAAAATGGCGCCTGAATATTTGGAAGAAATCTGTATTTCTATACGAAACTATTCGTGAACTTCAATTAATGATTTCCAACCAAAAATAAGTTCAAGTCGGCAACGTGACAAAACGTTCCGTGTCATATTGTTTAAATCTATCGAACTATATATAATTACCGTCATGGCGACTTCGGGGGCTATTGTGATACCACAGCCTACGACAATATTTGTTTGATCCTATTAAATCAATAATTGTTTAATCTTCTTAAAGAAGATGGTTACAAACAAACGCATACTGATTGACAATACTGCCGAATGTTGAGGAGGTAACTGTGACCTCTCCTACCATCAACGATTTTCACAATGGAGATAGAATGAGGAGGTTTATAGGTTTACTCTCACACAACTTGAGATTGACCGTTTAAAATCTTGTTCTAATACTTTTACAATTGAATCGAGATCAAATGTCTATCGCAAAGTTCCTACAGGGAACAGAATACACACCAGTAGTCACTCTTGATCCAAGCTTTCGGCCTTAGCCCTCGGGGATCGATTGGCCCTCACAATTGTCACATCCATAATCAAAAACACGAGATTAGTGTATTAAGGCACTAATTACGTCAATATCATGAGGTTTTCGAGAAACAAACGAAAAGCTCATTCTACTTTCTAATATAGCACATACTAACGTTCGTTGATATACAATACCGTGTATTCCTCGAATTATTGATCTGGTCGCCACGAGTTCGAGTTAGCGGGGTTTTACTGTATTACACGAGAACGTTTACTTCACCCTATGCAAATGTATAACGAAATGCATTCATTTCACTAACCGTAATTGCTATTCAGGTTTGATTACGTCTCATTTTACACATATTTATAAGAATGTCTATGAACTCTTTAAAAACATACTTATTTATTTCACCCAGTAAAGGCTCCTAGCGTTGAAGCAAGAGATGTTTGGTGTTTATATATGGCATTAGTTTATGACATGAGTATGTTGAAGCTGTTAAATGAACAACGAATATGGTTTACGACAGAAGACGTCCTATCTAAAATAGTTGATGACCAAGCAGTGGCATTTGCTGACATGACAAGTGTAGTGTGTGCACGTGCTTTCGTGATATGCACACTTGCTTGTATGTACGACATGATTACATAATGATTTCTACACAAAATACAATTAACAAACCTCTTATAATAACGACCTCTGTTTGTACTGAATACCTTGTAGCGTTATAGACCGAGGCAGACAGTGGCCAGCACAATAGCCTGGCTTTCATTCCAACAACGTGGTATGATAGATATAAGTACGATATGGATACAATGTTTTGCATAAAGCTATAGTGATATGTTTTAACACCATCACTAATTAAACCTTAGGTTAAAAAGTAATGGATGAGGAATGGACGCGTTAATGAACGTGAAATATGATCAATGCTGAGAAAAACGTTAAAATGGATGTTTTCTTCCTGTAATTACACATAGTACGATAATTCAATTTCTCTTCCATTTTTTTTTACAGACATACACGTGTAGCCACGTGGTATGGCGTTAACATGCAAGGTAAAGCTACTTACATACATGGCATCCTCCGGGTCGTACTCTTCTCCTGTCAAGTTGTGACGAGTGTCGTACAGCGGCAGCGCGTCTGACAATGGTATCAGTATTACAAAAATCCCAAACCGAACTGACATCACTGTCCACAGATATGTGTGGAAGAAATACATTGTCAGTCGTATATATGAAGAAAATTCGGCTTCTTCAGACAAAGTATATATACTTTATAATAAACTCAATGTTGGATATTCAACACGAACATTTATATAAACATATACCTGTCCGTTTTACAGAAAGATATAAATATTTAATGAAGCGAAGCAGAGATAGTTAATGTTGACAGGTGTACGTGTGTCGTTCACACTGCTAAGACAATGTACGACAACAGTAGTTCTCTACGCCTATATACATGTGCCGACGGGTGTGCGTTTTGTTTGATTTTTATCATTATATACATCTACCCCATGGCATCAATCATGAGTCAAGTACCGGAAGTGGAATTTGGCGCATGCCCGGATACTAACATCACCTGCAGGCACATTCTTTAATTATTGGTGGTAGACAATGTTTATTACACCTGAGTGCTGTGTATATCTAGGCCTACTGTACATATATACAGGTAAACTAGACAGCACAGTGTACTTTCCGACACGCCTCTCTTTAAGGTCATATTCGTCTCAGTTTTATGGAAGTTTGTTCTAAGACGAGCACAATAAAATTATCACAAATTTTCTTTCTTTTAATCATTTCGTTCTTTTTATTCTATGATAGAAATTAATGAACAGACCCCTTTTTTTTAAACAAAAGACAACTCTGCAAATATTTGATTTGGCGTATGGATAGAAACTTTTTTGAGGAATAAAGAATGATGATAAAATCGTGTATATTTTGTACTGTGTTTACAATATCAGAGGGAAGGCGCTTAACAGTTTGATAATTTGAGCTTAAAACTCTGCTCAATTTTCGGGCAATAAAGATGCTCAAAATTTAAGGAAATGTCTTCAGTCGAATTTGAATTTTTTTTCGTGTATGAAAAGGTATGATATTTGAAGGAAACTCCCTTTAAATCCGAGATTAATCATATTTTGCTTTTAGCTTAAATATCTTAGAAAATATCACCGACGTAAAGTTTACCTTGATATAAGCTTCATGCGTTTTAGTCCTGTTTAACTAGTAAAATATATATTCATACATTAACGTATCTGACATTATTTGTTTTCCGACATCAATGTCGCTTTAACATGCATAAAACGCGACAAAAGTTTCGGGATAGGCCTCAATGCACTGACCCGCCTTGCGTGTACGTGCACATCCAGGGGGATATACATGTATGTAAATATTGATAAAGATCGACCAATCATCACCTGTCTTACGTAATCTTTCGGAAAATTTTGAATTTTATTGTCATGTGATAAAATCGACACGGGCACAATGTTGTGTTATCAGTAACATTTATGGGGACAAACAAACACTCCTCATTCTCAAGGCAGCATTTGTCTTCAATTCGCAGGTGTTTCAGGGTGTATGACGAAATTCTACATGTTTCCCGGCGGTTCCGTCAGATATGACATCATACGTCTGCCATTTTAGGGTGTTTTCGTCCAAAATAATTAGGATATGACGCTAGCTGTAACCGCTTCAATGTAATTTATCGGAATGTTCTTAGGGGAGACACGGATGACAAATATGTATCTGTATAACGGTAATCCTTAATGGCTGTTAACGTGATAAGATATTACTTTATACAGACATATCTGACCAAAATGGCCAGTCATTACCAATTGTCACGTTCGACCGTAAACCCTTTAGTCCATAACATGTTTACTTCAAACAAAACGCGTGCATATTTTTTCTGTACACACCAGCTGGGAAGCTCCGCTTAGAATTATATTGCAAAATCGAAATTAACATCATATTTTTTTTTTTAGTATTTTCGTCATACGAATGCCTATGTCACAATGTCTGTTGTCGTTCATGTATACACGCAAATGCATCTGTTAGTAAAATATTACAACTTCAATCGTCACAGAATTGTTTGTGTGATTGTATGATGACAGTGTCCAAGGATGGCGGGGCCACACAGGAGCTACTTTAAATCTAACCACCTCGGTCACATATTCTGGCTAACCAGCGCACGTCAAATACGTTATCCTGAAGGGGTTTGATGGCGAAACACTGATATTTTAAGTGATTTTTAACTGATACAAATTGTATGTTTGACAATGAACTTCAACGTACATGTACCGACATTTAACGTATATGTACTGACCTTCAACGTGCATGTACTAACGTATATGCACTGACCTTCAATGTACATGTACCGACATTTAACGTATATGTACTGACCTTCAACGTACATGTACTAACGTATATGTACTGACCTTCAATGTACATGTACCGACATTAAACGTACATGTACTGACCTTCAACGTATATGTTCTGACATTTAACGTATATGTACTGACCTTCAACGTATATGTTCTGACATTTAACGTATAAGTACTGACCTTCAACGTACATGTACTGACATTTAACGTATATGTACTATGGTACCTATACAAATATGCTTGACTGAACAGGAACGGTAAACAACTTTTTTTATAGTACCAGTTTATATTTTGTTTTGTTTGGGGGGTTTTCGGAGGGGGTGGGGTTGATTGTCTTTTTTCTATCCTATTTATTTATTCATCATTGTTATTATAATGGGGAGGAGGTATAGCCACAGCAACAATTCATGCATGCATAAGCACGAGAGAACCTCATTGTGCCCAATGACCATGACCCAGGATCAACTAACTGCATACAGTCAATCTCCTTTGTGTCATTTGCGTTCATACCAGCATGAACATTGATAAATTGCCGTTCAATCCTTATATTTACATTATGACTATTTAATTATTATTTACCTTGATATGAATACTCCTCTGTATCTTCGATATTTAATTGTCTGTGTCGTCAGCACATACAATATTCCTAGAACAGCTTAATGTTACAATTTGTTTTAATTCTAACGGTTGCCTCATGTTGATCGAGTCTAAAGAGAACTTTCCAAATGACGCTGATAAAATTACATTCAAAGACCTATGAACGCAATTTCTGATGTAAATGCTTATAGAGGAACTTGCAATGAACGTATATATATCAATAATTAAATACATTTTAATGTTCAGTTACAGGATATATATACTGAAGGTGTGTGTGCAAGTTTTGAAAACGTCACCACATCAGCTTACCCAGAATGTCAGGAACTGTTACGATTTCCATTGCATGTTAATGATAGGAAAGTAGATAGTCCAAGGGCTTTTTTAGACAACAGAACGAGCCTAAATAAAAAATCAATTGACCTTGGAGATTGAATGGAATATATTTGGAAGAAAAAACCTGACAATTGTAAAGTATAAGATTGTTATAATAGAATAATACAAGTCAATGAGCTAGTAGTATCAGTCAGATTTCTATTCAACGCGTGTACTGAAAGTTTGCATCAATGTAAACCTAATTGTGGTTAGTGGTTATATAGGTCGTATATTCTTATAAAATGTTAATGAAAGTGACAGAGAATTAATAGATAATTAATGAATATTTGTATAAATTAATTGGAAATGAAACCTAAAACAATTACTGTAGACATATGTAAATCAAGACGACAATAAACCGTAAATAACAGGATAAATGACCTAATGATAGTGTTAATGGGTGAATGAACTGCGTTAATGGAATTCTTAACTTCAATAAAGTTATGCAAAAAACGCTAAGACAATAAAACGTACAGTGTATTACTATTGTACAATATAGGAAGGGAGCTTACTCTTGCAGAGATAGCTGTCTATTCTGCTTGCGTCTGCATTTCTACTGCAATTCGTATCCATGATTAATAATTTTCAAAAAATATACAGGTTTTTATAATGATTAACTAAGAAGAAAAATAAAATCTCTACCTAACAGGCATTCTGTATTCTGATCAGATGATGATGTTTTGATCTAGGTCTATCAGACAAAAAACTGAAACAATTACTGTTTTATTCTAAATAACTGTCACCCTGGTAAAATACTAGCCGCTTCCTACCCTCTCGGCTAGGGAGAATTTCTCTTATGCTCATTCGTTAGAGCGTAGGACTAGTAACCCAAAGGTCCCTGGTTCGACTCCTCGCGGAGGCACTGAAAATATAATGACCTTTGTAACATTGGCGCCCATGTAGGGACTCGAGGTATATGACAAAAACATTCAGCGATACGTGCACAGGAATCGTTATGACCCCTGGAAAACTAGGGACGAGTTCTTTCCTTGAGGGGAGGTAAAATACTAACCGCTTCCTACCGTCTCGGCTAGGGATAATTTCTCTTTAGATTATTCAGTAGAGCGTAAGACTAGTAACCCAGAGGTCTCGGGTTCGACTCCTGGCGGAGGCACTGAACAAATGATAACCTCTGTTACATAACAACACATCAAACATCTATACATGTTACAACAGTCTAAATAACATTTGACAACGGCGGGCTTGCTGTTGATTCATAAATAGCAAGAGTGACCACGGTGGACCTTGGGACCCTTAAACACAAACTTATCAAAGATATTTTAGTTATTTTTGGAGAGTTATTTCTCTTGTACAGCTGCATGACTCCGCCCACTCAATCGTTGTGAGGTTTCGGCGCGGTAACTCCCCCGAAACTGTCCTCAAACCCTATGTAGAAACGGTGTGAGACCCACACACCATATTTCTCTACAGTATCCTCATACTTGACATTTGTATAATCTTTGACGAACATCTGTTCAAAAATTAAGACGGTAAAGTCATAAATAAAAAATAAATATACAACATTTGATATAGCGCCCTATCTAGCTAACATAAGCCAATCTAAAGCGCTGTACAGTACATAGATATACAATTGCATACAGTCAATACGATTAGCATATATATTAATCAATATAATCTTGAAGAATTCGCAGGACCTGCCGTATCAGGCGCTAACTACTAGTCATATGCCACCTGGCTAATATTTTTCTGTGTGTGTATGCCTGTGTGTGTGCTGGAGATGTATTGTGTTCTGTTTGTAGTGGGACCGTGCTTCCAACAGTATCATTTATAGTGCCACCTCACTTGAGTGCTACAGCACAGATACCGCAACACTTGGTTGGTTGGTTGGTTGACGGGTTTTGCGCCTACATGAATCCACCCTTACTGGTTTCATCTCACTGACGGAAGTCAGTGTTCTGTCCACCGCAACACCCACCCCAGACCATTTTATACTCCACCTGGGTTGTTGGAGTTGTCATGACAATGAATTGTGACGTGGAGGAATGGGACGTGACGTAACGGGACTGACGAGGGTGAAACATTATGCCCCCGCCTCCAGTAAAATGTCAAGAAACGGAAGAAAATTAAAGATTTTCTCTGATGTATATTCGT